TTAAAATTGATTTTATTTAGTTAATATAATGGTAAAATATTTATATTAAATATATATTTTAAATAAATATATTTATATAAAAAAAATTGTTATTAAATCAGATATAATTATCATAAAATTCAATACGTGTGTGTGATAGATTAAAAATAATATATGGAACGACCTAACCTATTAATATACTTAAAATAGTACAATTATTATGCAATGAAAAATATAAAGTATTCAACTACTATAAACTTTTTCATGCAACAATATTTTAAATATTTATGTAACGTATAGATGTAAAAGATATAGAAAACATAAAACAATTATTAGAATGGTACAACAAAACAAGGTTATCTCTTGCATGACCAATCTTTTAATAAGTTTGTAATTTAATCCTAACTTATTTTTATATTAAGTATAATTATTGTATTTTATAAGACCATTTGAGCCGATAAAATTTATTTAATTTCACTAAAATATGCAAAGAATCAAAAATCTTTAAAAAAATGTAAATTTACATATTATTCATTCTCTAGTATAAATATTTATAAAATTTTCATTTTATATTCAAATATAAACTAGTTTTAACAGTTAAGTAGTTTAACGATATATATAAAGTAATAAGTTTACTTTATAGATTTAAAAAAAAAAGGTTTACTTTACAAGATCTATTAAATGTATCATCCAAATAAGTGTAAAAATGTTTTATAAATGTATAGTTCTTTTTTTTTTTACTCCACTTATAGTTAAAAAACAAAGGAATGTCATTATTTGTGAAGAAAAAGCCTTACAAACACGAGAATAACAATAGCAAAAGTATTGATAGCAACCTGGGATCGTACTTTTCATATTATTAAATATATTTAAAAATGATTTTTTCCTATTAAAAAAATGAAATAATAATAATATTTGGGTCACACGCTTTTAGCATGCCCCTCGCATCTCGCGTGGCCTGGATAAACAAATCTGTTGCAAATTGTCAAATTGATGTGTGTAAAAACATTGTCAATGACTACGGTAGAAATGTCATTCGGTGCATTTGTGTAATTTTAAAATTAAATAAAAATCAACGGTCACTAATAATTGGGTCTGAGCAGAAAGTTATAATTGTGAGAATATTTATAAAATAAAAAAAAAACACAGGGAGAGAGAGTAATTTAAGAGAAAATTATAAAAATAATTTTTTTTAAAATATGTACATAAAATAAGATGATTTCTTTTATTAATAACTAGCAAAGAAAAATATTTCATATCTCCATGAAAAAATAAAATCAAATAGTATTTTTGTAAAAAATAAATAATCATGAGTTATTATTTTAATTTAAAAAGAAGATTTTTTTTACACATATTTTTCTTATTTTGTCTTTTAAATATATATTAGTAAAAAAATTAATATAAAAATAAATTTGTCTTAAAAAAAATGGACAAAAAAAATTTCCCTAGACTAGTGAGAGAAAAAAAAACACTTATTCAGTTTAAAAAAATAAAAAAAAAGAGAGAGAAACATATTATTATTACCGAGGATAAAGTAAGAAAAAAATACCTGTTAAGCGAGATAATTTTTTTTTTTATTAACTAGCGTATTAAAAATATTTTGTGTTTCTTTGTATTTTTTAAAAATAAAGTAATAAAATATGTAAACAAATTTTTATTAGTTATAATTATAAGAATAGTTGTTAAAATAGTAGAAAAAATCATTTAAGAGATAATTTTAAAGATTAAATTGTAAAAAAAATGTGAATACCAATTAAAATAGTTTCCTCTATAGTATAAGTACACATATGTGTAAAAAAAACTCAACTTCAGTATTAAATTAAGATAACCCATTAGTTTATAACCTTAATGATACAGTAATGATAATTAAGTGCACTGTGCTCGATGACAATATTGCGCCTACGACTTTTGTGTGTCTTGAGCTACTGCATGTTATTAATTATACTCCCAGAGAGGAGTTTATTTATTTATTTATTTGTTTATTTTAAAATTACATGCATGTCATTTTTTTTAAAGTTTTATACCAATACTTAATATTTAATTTTTTTTTACTTCAAGTTCAACAGTAAAAAGATGGTGATAAGGAAAATAACAGATCAAAAATTTATATTCACACCTTGGATTCTTAAAAAAAAAAAAGTATATAAGTTGTAAAAAATGTAATCCCGATTAAATTATTTTTTCCATTATTCATTACAAAAAGTATAACATTTCTTTATTAATAAAATTATTGACCTAATATGTTTAAATTGAAATATTTTAATATTTATATTTTATATGTTAAATTTAAATACTTTTTCACGAGTAATTTAATATCTTGATTGTCATTTTTTATAAAATATAAATTGACTTATACTAGCGTGAAATACACTTCTTTTGGAGTTTATATA